TTGTGCCAGCCCAGTGCTCAGTGCAGGTGAGTGTTGGTTTGGGAATCAGCCAAAACCCCCCTGGCTTTTGTACAGCAGTGCCTCGAGCTGACCCACAGAGCCACGGCCCCAGCTTTGGGAATGTTGCAGGGAAGATGAAGCAGGGAGCACAGAGCTGGGGAGCTCAGAAACAGCTCCTCAGCCACCCCAAACTGGTGCAGTGTTGTCACCCTGGATCTCAGCTGAAGCAGTTTCAGGCCTGTGATGAAAAAAAGATGTGTTTCTCAACTGTGAGAGATGATTAGTAGTGCTCACCATCCAAGGCCTTTCATCTAGTTCAAACAGAAATTAGGGTCCCAGTGTCTTTCATGTTGGGAACTCTGTGCTTTTCTAAGAGAGCTGTCAAAGAGTAGTTCCCCGATTTGTTAATCAGTTGTCATGCAATTGCTGAAGCATGAACAGAAAAGTTGCCTGAATAATGGGAAGATAAGCTTGCCCATTAAGCAGGGATTAAAATAGAAGGAGCAATAGGCTGTAATTGGCATGATGAAAATGTAAGCTACGTTTGCTAGCAAATATGTATGAGGTTTCATTCTGTTTTGGTTGAAGTTCGTTTAGGATTCATTCCTGTTATGACAAATTCTCATAGAGTAGGAATGGATGTAAATTGTGCATCTTTGGCATTTCAGCACCACGTACAATAAGCTTTCTTTCCCCCTTGTTGCCTAGAATTAGGGTTTTTAATTGAATAGAAAAAGCTAATAAAATTTACAGTTTTGGAAGGAGTTAGAAAAAATAATATAAACACCCAAATAGAAGCATTATAAAGTCTGAGTTGTTAACAACTGCAAATGACAGAGAAAGAGTTTGTGCACCAAGATATGCTCTAGAATTTGCCTATCACTTGTATCAGAATAAATAATTTATCCAAATGAAGTTATGTAGAGTTAAGATTTCTGCAAAGAAATTTCAAGAAACATTCTTGCAAACACTTTGTGTAGTGTTATGCCTGCTTTGATTTTTAGAAATATAGATGAAATTGCCTTATTCCAATTTTACAATGTGTGGCATATGAGGGTGTTGACTGACTGTAAACTACCACTTATTTCTAATGACCTGTGATTTAATTAGGGAGAAAGAAATGGAGTGGAGAAAATGAGTGGAAAAGAGGAAAGAAATTAGTAGAGAAAAAAAAATGTTTTTAACATAATGCCAGAAAGTTTGATACATGATGCATTTCAAACATCCAATTAATCCTTTTCAGACTTCATTGAGTTTTGCAGGTTTTGAAATTGGTGGGGATCTGTATCCAGTACTTAATTTTTCCTGGGTTTATTGTTTGAGGGTCTGGGTATATTTTATCCCCTTCGTGACATTAGTCTGTGACAAAGGTGACCAGCCAGCTGAAACTGAACTCCTGTGCTGATGGCAGGTGCTCGGGTAGGTCTGAATCCAACAAGAGATTAATATTTGTACACATGCAGTATAGTAGTGCTGAAGAAATGCAGGACTTTCATAATATAACTATCTAAATAAAACCTGAGAGATTTTTATCCTTTTTGATGCATTTCTCCAAGTATTCTACTTCATTGGTGCTTCTCCACATTTCCCTTTATTACAGTTTAATTGTTTCAAAATCTGACACTTTTAAACAGGGAGTGCAATAGTCTTCCAAGGAGCACTAAGGGGATGAATGTTATCCACCCCAAAATGCCCTTCTCTGCTCAGTTCAAGTTTAAGATTAAACAGCCTTTTGAAGAAAAAAATACATGCCTCTGTCTGTTTGTAGAATAATTCTCTTGAGCTCACAAGGCTATTTGTCAGGTTAGCCATCACTTTAGATAAGCTGTAGTGTGTCAGATGGTAGAGGACAAGTGCTGTCTCATCTTCCATACAAAGTGGGACTTCTGGTCTTTCAGTTCTTTTTGACTCGAGAAAGACATGACTGACATTTAGATTCTTTTCTGATCATTTGATTGGCAGTAATATTTGTAAAACAGCCCTCTTCCTGCCATGTCTCATGTTCTGAAAAGTACTGCAAGTGAATTGTAACTTTGCACAACTTCACCCTTTTTGCAAATTCAGAAAGGCATCATTGTCTCAGTGATGATAAAAATGTGAAATTCTGGGAAACTGAAGGCTGCAAAGGACCTGGCTTTTAGCACTGACCCACTGGGCTTTAGGCTGTCCTGAAGTGTGGAGTATTTTGTTTCTGGCATTTTAAATCTAAGTCTTGCCACACTCCATGTAATTAGTTTCATGGCCTCTACCAGACCACTTGTGACTCAGCTGTCACACAAATCAATCACATTATTTTTCTTCAGGTCCCTGTTTTATCTTGGGCACTGACTTTGTTAAATGAGTTTGAACTTGCCTCTCAAAGCAAGGGGTTTCTGCAGATGCAGAAGGGGAGTGTTGCACTGATTCAGGCTGTAAGGGAACCTTCTTCCTCTCACTGTTTGGGTTGTGAGGAGCCACAACCCAAAGTTAGGAGCTTTGAAGGAGTTGGATTGCATAGCTGGAGTTCACATCTGCACTGATGACCAGACACATTCAGTCATTTGCTTACCTTGCATTGGTAGGACAGTAAAAGCTGCATCAATTTTACAGCCTTCCTGACAGATTGCTGTCCAGAGCTCCTTTGCAATGTTGTTTCACAGCAGGAAAGCACCAGAACCCCTGGCTCTGAGTGACACCCACCCATCAGAGCAGAGCTGGGGCCTGCAGGGCTGCTCTTACCTGGTGCTGCTTTGAACTGGGGGCTGCTCACTGGCTTCAGCTTTCTGGGGATAGTGCACCTGCAGTTCACTGTACCAGTGTGGAGCATGGCTTTTCTGAGCTGAGGCCAGAAGTGACAACTGCTCCATTCATTTAGACTGAATTATCACCATTTGGAGAGAAAGAGCATGTTTCTTCTTGTGATTCATCCAGATATTTAAATTAGAGTAATTTTCATAAACAGTTATGTCAGTAGGCATCCCTGTATGAATTCCTTAATGTTGGGTGAACCGTTCCTTACTTAAACTGAAATTATCCTCTCAGTTAATTTCTGACAGATAAGAAATGTTTCCAAAGCTAGATGCTGCTTTTAATGACATGAGCTCCTGCTGGAAAGTTAAGTGAAAACTGTGTAGTTTTGATTTTTAGCACTAAATAAAACCATTTGCATGGGGAACTGGCAACTTTGTAGGCGAAGGATAGTAGAAGTAAACCCATCCCTTCTGCTATCTGAGATCCCAAGCCCTTTCCTCACTGGTGCTGTTCCTACACTCATCTGGCTGTAGGTGTTGGTCTCAGGGTGTATCTTGGCTCAGTGTCCTTCAGCAATACACAGGAACTCTGGACTAAGGGGGGAAATTCACATTTCAGGTTTACACTGGAGATGGGAAGTCTTGACTGTACCATAGGGAGGGAGGTCAGCTTGACTGCCTGCTGTGTGTGACAG